GTTGCTTAATTATTTTTCCTGTTCTTTCATTGTTTCAATGATCGAAACTTACTTTGATGAATACATGTTCATCTCATACAAGACTGTGACTACGTTTCAGTTTGAGTTTCTATCTGCCTTAAGCGAAATAGAAAAATTCACGATTCAAGTTTATGCATAAAATTTTGCGGTTGATGTTGCTAAAATCGATATTGTCGATAGCAGCGTTTTAAAAATGCGTGATTTGAATTTAACAAATAACCTATGAAAAGACATGTGAAGTGGCAGTGGCATCATTTACTTAGCACTAGCTAATCATAAATGAAAAATCTAAAATATTGCCATTTATCCGCCCTACTAACAGCCTCATTATGCTGACCATAATTGATTACACGTTCACAATATGTCTCCAGATAAGTGTAAAAACTACTGAACCAGTAAAAAGTTGTTTGCCAAACAAAGTTTTCATGAGATGGTACTTTTCATGAGATGTATTATATAAATTTTTTATATAATACATTTTCCGTTATATAAGTAATTCAGAAATAGAATCAAAGCGTACGCGACCTAAATGGATCAGGAGCAAGATCAAAGTCGCAAGCTCATGTGGTCAAGAGCAAATCTTGCACCGTTTCCCCCGTCTAGAAGAGACAGGACTAAGAAAAATCACGTTCTTACCTAGAAACAAACGTTACAACATTAAAATAAAAGACAACAAAGTAAACAACAAAGAAATTGAACATTAATCATACATGTATAGCCAAAATATACTAGCACGTATATTCTTTAAATTCTCTAAGATTCCTTTTATAAATGTTTACGTTTTAAAACTAGCTTAAAAAAGGAAAATTACACGTTAAGATCAAGAATTACAGCGTAAGCGCGCTAACAACCCTTAAATCAAATCACTGAAATAATGCTAATTTTAAAAATTCATGATCCCGGATTGGCAAAAAACGTACAACGAAAAGACAAATACGTTTCTTACTTAACACCGGAACTATAGTAGTGTAAGGCAGATGGAAATCTCAGGCCATGGATCTATGGTATTAAATAGTCTTGTCCTCTTAGGCGTTCAGAAACAATGGGGCGGTGCAATGATGCGGGATTATCAAGTGTGAGATTTCCATCTGCCTTATATCATCGAAGTATCGGGGTAAAGAAAGAAACTTTCTTTTTTCTTTCTTTACATCGTAACGTTCTTGAGGTAAAAATCCGGGATCATAAAATTTTCATATTATGTATCGACGGCGGAATCGAAAGCAAAACTCATGGGGCTCCATCGAAAGCTCCATTCCCCAGAACATCGGGCTCATATTTTCCATTTGGCCAATTTTTCTGAAACATTGATTAAGAAAGCCATGTAGAATACAACGTTCAAGTAAAACCGATTTGAAAATTTTTACTTGGAAATTCAAAGATTACGACTTAATTTAATAGAAACTTCTGCAAGCCAATGCCATATGTCACTTACTACCTCTTCTCTGAAATACCTGACATGCTCGATGATACTGGGCAGATTTAATCTTAAGCATGTAAATCATTTTGTAAATCATCAGTTTTGAACTTGAACAGATACTGAAACAGATAGTTTCAGTCTAGAAAATTCTCCTCTAATTCGAAACAAGGAGAGCCCGTAAAAAAAAGACTAGAGCACAGAAAACATGGCTCAAAATTCCACTAAACTGACATCCTTTTAACATGCAACATGTAATAAGAAAGGACGCACTTACTCAAAATAAAACATTTAATTTCTTGAAAGGAGCCTGATGTTAAATGTTAACCTGTAACCTAATTTAGAATTCTCCAGGTTGGTTTTAAGACATCTGAAGAAGAATGTTGGCGAATTTAAAGAACAGATGTACTTGGTCATCTTATGTTCATATGCCATACAGATGCATAGGTATGACTTTAGACCCTGAACCTATGATCAGTGGTTGGTGACCGATTAACTTTACCTTATTTTGATGTTAAAGAAGACGTGAGACACGGAGCTGAAACATCAGTATCGGTAAATCTTCCGATTGAGTATCTTTCACACTGTTCATAAAATAAACGGTTCCTATGCTATTTTTCAATATGATTATCACTGCACGAACCAAATACCAAAACGAACCAAATTTTTTATAAATTCTCATTCATTCTTAGTACCTAGTTTTCCTGGCAGTTTCCTCTTGCAGACGCTCATCTTATTGATAAAGTTCTTAAGACGATTCTCAATTTACCTTATTGCCGCCATATTGGGAGCTAATAAACGAGCCATCACTGGCCAAAAATCAAGGGGAAAGCTATAAAAACCTTCTGGACAAGATAATTGAAACGTTGCGGCAAGAAATCTAGATGATCACACGTACAAAGCTAGTAATGACGGCAACGAGTATTTATCTTTGTCTAACTTTACTTCCTAGACATTGACTTATTACTGAAAAGCTGTCAAGTTATTGCCTTTCGTGTAAAATGACCACAGCATTTATGTCTTCGCTTTAAAGCATGTGCAAGTTTTGAAAACATGCAAAATCCACAAACATATTAAATCGTAATTTTACTGATTTACAAAATTAACCTTACTTTAATATATTTATATTTTTCATGCGGCAGGAAAGTATGCAGTAAAGCGTTTCGCACGGAACCACTGCAGAGAAAGGAAAAATTAAGACTACAGTAAGAAACATCCTAATCAACCTTAAAAAACAGGCTGCAGATCACAGAGTACTCACAAAGTCTTGCATATGTTTTTCAACAGTAAAGTAACTAAGCTTTTTAGTCTCTGATGCAAAAGATGGTTGGTTAAAAATCAAATCACCATAACAGCTTTTGATCGAACGGTTCTCGTTGCTTATGACGAGGATATTTGCGGCATTCAACATGTAGACGACCGCGTATGCGTATAAAGTAGCAGTAGGGGCACCTCAATTTCGGAGCAGTTTTCACCTTAAACTCACGACGAGGCTCAATGGGTGACCACGTAGCTGGAAGACACAGCGGACGGGGCTGAATCGTTGCGGTGAAGGCTGAGAATCGACTACATCCACCATTCATCAGCCGAGTGCAACGTTGCACAAGTTGCATCAGCACCTGGCGTGCCAAAAGCATCATTCAACGCTCCTATAAAAAATAAATTAAAACAAATAATTCAAATAAATTAAATCATCAGTAAAACGACACCATGTTCGTAAAGCCAACCAAGACCTAGGTATATTAATTCGACTAGCATTCATTTAACACTGTAATCTGTCA